CCCCCTCCCCAGCTGCTGCTCGCAGGGCTGCTGACAGCTCACAGCATGGTCCCTTACCAGCCTTGCTTTTGCCTCATCTCTCCCATCCTTTGTTTGAGAGGGGAGGTAGAAAGGGGGTGATAAGAAGGGGTGAGGTGAAGGCTTTTTTCCAGGCTCCTTAGAAAATGGATTGGAAATCTTGGTTACTGGCTCTTGGTCCCAGATTGTATCAGTTCTATGGAAATGGCTAATAGTGGATATTAGTCCTTGAAATCTATCCTCTGTCTTCTGTATTAACCACCAATCTTTTATTCACTTAACCTTTATGAGTAAACATGACTACCTTTAGCTTTAATTTAAGAAAAGGTATCATTGAGTACTACATTTCCCAGGTGTAGACCATCAGACAGAAAAACATGATTTAATTACATGTAGGATAATAATACTGTGTTGGGGGTCCCAAGATCACCCCTCGGGTTCAGTAATAATCTAAGAGGACTCACAAAATTCAGAGCACAGAAATACTCACAGCTGCAATTTGTTACAGTGGAAGGATACAAAGCAAAGTTAGCAGTGGGAAGGTGCATGGGGGGAGTCTGGAGGAAAGATGGCCCAAGGGTCTTTTCCCAGTGAGGTCACGAAAGATGCACTGAATTCCTCAAGCACTGAATTATGACCACGCATGTGAAATGTTGTCTGCTAGGGAGGCCCATTACAGACTCAGTGCCCAAGGGTTTTATTTAGGGCTGGTCACGCAGGCGCTCTCTACTTAGAATGAACCAAAATTCCAGACTCCCTGAAGGAAAGCGGGCATTCAACACAAACCACGTTGGTAGTACAAAGTGAGCCATATTTCTTATCAGTTAGGGAACTGGGGGCCCCTCCCCAAATTTAAGATCAGATGCCAACCAGAGGCCAACTTTGCAAGCAGGCCTTTCCAAGGATGTGTCTCAGACCTGCTGCATTAATTAACTTTCTTTTCTGCACAAGCATGGTCCTGTCAAATCAATTAGATTAAATAATATTCTTCAAAGTAGTAACTTGAAAGATAATGTGGTCACTTCGAATTACAAGTGTTATATAACTAAATAAGTCATAGGGTACAGGAAAGTGACTTTTAACAATACAACATCCAAATCTGTTTTATTAAATCCTGTGTCCTTACTAATACATTTTTTTCTCAAGTTCAGTGAGCAGTGGTCAAATCCAAAGTAAGCTGAAAAGAGTCATAAAAATGCAGTTCACAGCCAGAAACTAAAATACATTCATAGACTTGAGTTGACACAACTTTGCCTAAAATTTGGCAGAAATTTCAGAAATTCAGAGGTTGATAAAATCATCCCCAAACTCCAGGGAGACTATGTCATGTTCTCAAGTCTCCTTTGCTTATAGCTCAGTCAATTCCCCTTAAAACTCATCGCTCCTGGTTGGAGTCCTGATGTTTGCAGGCAAAAGCCATACTTAGAAACTGAATGGATGATCCATTCTCAGCCACAGTGTTCATCTCTTTTGAGGTAGTCACAGTGACGCACCACGCAGGGTCCGCTTTAAGGAGAGACCTGTTGACTCAGCTGCTGGACATGCTATCAGCCAACAGCCTTCAGCTCTCGGCTCATTAGGAATTACATCAGTGGCAGAGCTGCCTTGCCCAAGGCCTTGCCCTTCCTGGGGTAGCCTTCATCCAATGACTGATTTGGTTGAGAATCTAAAGGCCCAGCCTTCCCAGCCAAACATGGGACAGCTCTGACAGGCCAACTGAAGCTATCTTCTGGCCCACACTGCAGCTTGACCTCTTTGCCCAATCCAGCTTCTTCTGTCTCCCTTCTACAGGTGCTGACCCCAAGGGCATTCCCTAGTAAACATCCTGCATACTACACTTCATGTGAGTGTCAGATCCCTGGAGAAGCCAGCCTGTAACATAATTGGGTATGATGTTTTAAAGCATCTTTTCATTCCATCGAATGAGGGCAGATCAGCAATTGGGAACGAGGGCCATCTGCTCAATCCATGCATCTTTCACAGCCCAACCAGAGCACCTTCTAAAAAAATCAGCAGTGTCCTTCTTCCTTGCAGTTTCAAATTCAAGGTATTTGGATGACATATTACCATCAGTCAGAAAGCACAATCTTGTGAGTTATTCTACATACAAGAAGGTAGATATTTTAAAGCCCTTACATTCTAGAAGTCTTTACTCTGTTTTGTAAATTTTTTTGTTGCCATAAGTCAATCATATCCCTGAATTAAAAATAAATGAAATCTCTATCCTACATATCAACTTCTTCCTTAATTCCCATAATTTGTCAGTGAAATCAAGGCAAGAACATAAAGAAGTTTCAGTATAAATAACTCTCTTTTTATATCCAGCAATGAATCTAGCTTTTAAAAATTCTTGACACAGCAGGAGCTGAATACAATATTCTAGTTGTCTTTTGCTGTTTAACAACCATCCCCAAAATATTGTGATATAAAACAACAACACTCACTTATTATTATTATCTTTCAAGATTCTGGGTGTTGGCTGGGCTCATGTAGGCAATCTCCCTCAAGGTCTCTCATGTGCTTGTAGTCCAACTGTAGGGGAGGCTGGAGTCATCTCAAAGGCTATTTTACTCAAACACGTCCGGTGCCTAAACTGAAACAACTCAAACAGCTGAGGGCTGGAAAAGTTGGGGCTCCTCTGGCATCTCCATCAATATGTGGGCTAACCATGTAGTCTTTCCAGCATGACAGCTTCAGGGTAGCTGGACTTCTAAGGTGGCAGCCTGGCCCCTAAGGCATGTCGAGAGGGACAGGGAAGAAGAGAAAGAGAGAGAAGAGCGAGACTAATGCTGTATTGTGTTTTTATGACCTGCCCTCAAAAGTTATGCAGCACCACTTCTCCAGCATTCTCTTCGTTAGAAGCGAGTCACTAAGACCAGTGCGCATTCAAGGAGAGGAGAAATAGACTCCCCTTCCTCCCAGGAGGAGTGTTGATAAGAATTTGATGACATATTTAAAGCCACCACATACGCCTAACCTTTTCCTTTTGAGCTCCCTTTGTTTATTTCTGTCCCTGCTGGTGTTGCAGCCAGGCCAAGTGATCCTGTTTTCATTCATAGTCCCCCAAAGAATGGCTGATTACAAAAGCCAACATTTATTTAGGACTTACTCTGTGCTGGTACTCTAGTTCCCAAGTTATATCCTGTTTTGGATTATTCTTTACTTACTATCCAAATAAAATATCTCAAGTCCCCATCCATTGTACTGTGGGAAGTTCCCTCACCAATATAGCTCTTTTCAGGGGGACTGTACTTTTCCAGATTGAAATCTGCTTCTTTTTTAAAAAAACAATTTTTTATTGAAATATAGTCAGTTTACAATGTTGTGTCAATTTCTGGTGTATAGCACAACACTTCAGTCATACAGGAACATACATATATTTGTTTTCATATTCTTTTTCACCATAGGGTACTACAAGATATTGAATATAGTTCCCTATGCTATACAGTATAAACTTGTTGTTTATGTATTTTATGTGTATTAGTTAGTATGTGCAAATCTAAAAATCCCAATTTATCCCTTCCCACCCCCTCCCCCCTCAATAACCATAAGTTTGTTTTCTACATCTCTGAGTCTGTTTTGTAAATTTACAAGTTCGTTTGTCTTTTTTTTTTTTTAAAGATTCCACATATAAGTGCTATCATATGGTATTTTTCTTTCTTTTTCTGGCTTACTTCACTTAGAATGACATTTTCCAGGTCCATCCATGTTGCTGCAAATGGCATTATTTTATTATTTTTAATGGCTGTGTAGTATTCCATTGTATAAATATGCCACAGCTTCTTTATCCAGTCATCTGTCAATGGACATTTAGGTTGTTTCCATGTCTTGGCTACTATAAATAGTGCTGCTACGAACATTGGGGTGCATGTGAATTAAGGTTCCCCCTGGATATAATCCAGGAGTGGGATTGCTGGCTCATATGGTAAGTCTATTTTTAGTTTTTGAGGAATCTCCATACTGTTTTCCACAACGACTGTACCAAACTGCATTCCCACCAACAGTGTAGGAGGGTTCCCTTTTCTCCATACCCTCTTCAGCATTTATCATTCATGGACTTTTGAATGATGGCCATTCTGACTGGTGTGAGATGATATACCTCACTGTAGTTTTGATTTGCATGAAATCTGCTTCTTGGCTCCTGTTTCCACACTGCTCCTGTGTTAGAGACACTATCTTCTTTCTTTCCCTCAAATCATCACTGGCACATTCAGTGAAGATTTGGACTTGTTATATCTCAGTGCAGGAATCAACTCCTAGGTCAATGTCATTCCTAAGTATTTCCAGGAATTTATCAGCCATTTCTTATCTAAACCATCTCCTCACTCAGTGTTAATATGGAGAGGTCTTCCCACAAGTGCTAGATCAGCAGTTAAAAGTTGGTAGCCACCCAAATGAAGCCTGCCTACGACCTGCTTTTGAAAATTGAATTAGATGCTAACATTGTAACAGTGTGAGTTTCCATATAAACCTCAGATTTCCAGCTTCTCTTGGGAAAAAGTTGGACCAATTCCCAACACTTGATTTATTCCCTCACATGTCAGCAATCAAGTGGAGCCAGGATCAGCCAACTCCTGGCTTCTGTTCACTGAAAGTTCCATTTGGCTCACTTCATTCATTGACATTAACCTCTAGCCCCCACTAGACAATTGGGTTTGCAACCCCTCGCCCTAAAATCCACTTCCTCCACCCCCTCCCGACGTCCTCAGGCCTTGACCACTTTTCTTTGAGTCACCCGCACAAACCTCAAATTCCTCTCACTTTATTATACTGAATGATTCAGCTTTTCTAATATCTTGCACCCACACCTTGTCACCTAGACCAGGGGGGCAGCAAAGATTTTCTATTAAGAGCAAGATAGTAAATATTTTAGGCTTTGCAGGCCATATGGTCTCTTCAGCAGCTCCTCAATTCTGCCATCATGGACCAGAAGCAACTGTTGGGGGAAATATCATTAAAAAACATATCTTCTGCCAACCCAGAAAACTGTTCCACAAAGTAGAAGAGAAAGAAAGAGAGTAGAAAGAAAGAAAAAGTTAATGATTAAGTATTAAACCAGAATGTGGTGCTCATCACAGGCAATCCACTAAAGGGGTGCTAAAACGGAGAGAAATCTCACCTATATGTATAGCCAGGCAGATACAGCCCATGACACATGCTCTCAAGAAGAATGATAACTAGTCCTCAAGTAAGAGGACTTGACAGCACCTTTTGTTACACATAGTTCATCCCAAACTCACCTGGTAATTGGGATGTCCATCTGTGTTAGCTAATTGCCTTTATCCAGAAGAATAATACAAGTTCTCCTATCTCTATGACAGGTAGGTAGTTACAACTTGGAGACCGAAGCCTGGTGAAGTTAGGCTCCCACCCTCCCAGGGAAACTGGGAGATGGGGTTCCACCTTTCTTAATGATTGCATTTCAAAGAGATGGTTCCCAGATTGTTGAGAAAACAGTCCTGGGCTGTAAAACTGGCCAGAGGCTTTTTTTTTTTTAAGCTTTCAAAAAGATTAATGTATATTGTAAAGGGGCAGGGAAAGAATTAACGATTGCAAATTTTCCAAAGCTGAATCAGAAAGTGGAGTGGAGATTTCTTACTTTTATAACACCTGAGCAAATTAATTAAAATTTTTTTATTCATTTTGCCCTTATGCAGCCATAGAATGTACATGCATAAAGGAGTGTGGCTATGTTTCAATAAAACTATTACGGACACACAAACTTGAATTTCGTTTAATTTTCACATGTCATGAAACACTATTTCTCTTTTGGTTTTTTACTCTGCAACTATTAAAAAATGTAAAAACCATTCTTGGCTTGTAGGCCGTGAGGTGGACTGGGTCTGCAGACCATGGTTTACCAAGCCCTGACCTAGACTATGACAGTGATGGGGATTCCACGTAAAGTGCTTTCCTAAAAACAATGAATCATGGATTTTGCCACTGCCTTGGAAGCCAGTAGTCAGCTGCAGTCAGTTTTTTTTGTTTTAATTAGTATTTCTACTGGATGGTACACCTTTAGTCTTTGTATTAATTTCCTAGGGCTGTTGTAACAAAGTACCACAAACTGGGTAGCTTGAAACAAAAGAAATTTATTCTTTCACAGTTCTAGAGCCAGAAATCTGAAATCAAGTTGTTGGCAGGGTTGGTTCTTAGTGGAGGCTCTGAGGGTGGAAGTGTCTCATGCCTCTCTCCTAGCTTCTGGTGGTTGCCCCCAATCCTTGGCTTGCAGCTGCATCATTCCAGTCTCTGCCTCCATTTTCACACAGTGTCTTCCTGATAATTGCCTGTGTCCAAACATCCATCTTCTTAAAAGGACACCAGATTAGGGTTTACCCTAATACAGTATGAGTTCATTTTAGCTTGATTACATCGGCCAAGACCCTGTTTCCAAATGTTACAATTATGAGTTTGGGGTCAAGACTTCAGCATATCTTTTGGGGGACACAGTTCTACCCAGTGCAATCCCACTTCTCAAATTTCTTTTCTGGCATGTGGCTAGTACCTAACAGTTCCTTTCTGCTCAATTCCTAGGAAACATTCTTTTTGTTAACTGTCTCAGTTGGAACTAAAGGGTGGCAGAATATGCCACCCCAAAGTATGACTGTAGGAGTTCAGGGCATGCCACCCTCAAAATATGCTGCTTTGGTATCTGGATAATTTTGAGTTGTAAGGACATATAAAACAGCAAATGCAGGGAGAGGCTTTCTTTGAACTCCCCTGATCTGCCTAAAGACAGACACTCCAAAGGGAACTCAGTTGTCATAAATCCCCTCTCCAGAGTTTCATCAGCCCGGGAAGATCAACTCTTGTCGCAGGAGAGGAGACTGACTAGAGGTCGACACCACACCCAGACACACTTTGTCACAAACTATCACACCTCTCATCTACCCTTTTAAGGGCCTTTCATCTGTCCTAAAAATCATTTACTTTCCCCTCAGAGACCTACATCCCTTTCCACTTTCCCTGTTAAGATGGTATCTACGTCTGGATTCTAAGCCACCTTGGGTTATTCACCCTAATTATGCAATCTCGCTGGGTATCTCCCACATGCACATGAGGTATACATGTAATAAACTTCTGTTTGTCTGTCTTTTGTTAATCTGCTTTTATTACAGGGGTCTCAGGCAAATACTCAGAAAGGTAGAAGGAAGCTATTTTTCCTCCTTACAGAACAGTCCCCTGGACTAGGGCAAGCCACTGGATCATGCTTTATGTCTGACCTCTTCTCTTTCTATGTAAATGTAGCTGCAGTGAAGTTCACAGAACCAAAGTGAAACATCATCATCTTTCCATCTGTCCAGTCAGGGGGGCAGCAATGAACTGTATTTCTTTAATAAGCCAGTTCAGTGTCCTGCAAAGAAAATCCTGTTCTCATTAGAGGAATAGTAAATTCTTTCAAAATTGAATTTTAACACCTTTACAGAATAATTCACAAGTCTGTTGATCTTAACCCAACTAGAAACGTTCCCTCTATCTGTGCTTGTGGCTCCTTTATGTCTGCATACTCAGGGTTCTTTTAAAGTTCTGATGTAAACGCAGTTTGGTATTCTTCCTTTTATGATTTAGCCAAATGTCTTCTATTCCCCTGTATCATTTTTATATCTTTTATATATCACTATACTAATTTTTGTTTTGATTTTCTAGTTGTTTTAAGTGGGAGTGCTGGTCTGTCACTGGCTAATCCATCTCACTGGGAAACAGGTTCATTTCACCCTAAACATTTTCATTTTATCTTCTTATATTTTAAAACCAAAACATTTTTTAAACTGAGATGTAGTTGACCAATAATATATTGATTTTACCAAATGTTTTCTATTTCCTGTATCATCTTTATATTTTGAGTATATCATTTTGATATACCAAAGTTAGCTTCTGTATTTTGGCATTGTTGGCATCTTAGCTTTCTTTCAGTGTTTTACTATCATAAAATAAACACTGCATATGTACACTTTTTGTTTTTTATTAAACATTCTTTCCTCAGGATAAATTGTATTACTTGGTCAGGGGTTAGGCAAATTTATGATTCTTTCAATAAAGCATCATTTTGCCCTTGGGAAAAACTGGCTTCATTTACATTACTATCATTAATGCATGAGCCGCTGTGCTTTCCTGAAGCCTTGCAGGCTTTGGGTTTTTATCGCTTTTCAAAAGTTTTTCTGATTCTATTTTTAGGTTCAAAATGAAACTTCACAGTAGGTTCCATTTTTACCAACAAGGTGGACTGAATATTTTAAAAACCATGATTTAAAATCATGTTTCTTCTTATATGAACTGTCTTTTAATCATTTGTTTAACAGACAGTTGATATTTTTGCCCATTGATATGAGCTTTTATACTTTTCAGTTTTTGAACTTTTGTGTTTATGGGCCAACATTTTTTCTATTCTTCTGAATTTTTAAATCTCAGCTTTATTGATGTTCATTCCATCAAAGTTAAAACTATCTAAGTAACAAACCTGTCCATCTTTTTTCCATTTCTATTCCATCAGCAGTCAAAAAGTGATTTCTCCCAGGGCTAGACTGTTCACATACATGAGAGTATATCTGTTTATATTTTTAAGTATTGAGCTTTCAATCCACCTGGAATTTTTTGGCAAGTATGGTGGAAGGTATGGGTTTTTTAATATACTTGTTGTTGATACTCTTATATACATACCAAGGGTCTCAAAGGGTTCAATGTCTGCCAGGACAAATTCTGCTCATGACCCCTTTTGACTCTGGAGTACTCTTTGATGTTCTTGCCCATTTATTTTCCCACATAAAATTAAAACTACATGAATTCTATGAAGTGTTTTATTTCTAACCAGTGGCTGGTCACCTAGGATGGGTGAGCTATCTATAGTTATTATTACTGATCCATTTGCTTGCTGGTTGCTAAAAATTTTTTGCTGTCACCTTCTATTCTCCCTTTTCTTTTTCTTTCTTTCTTTTTTTTTTTTTTTTTTGCTGTGTTAAATATTCTCCCTGTTCTTAAGGGTTTGTGTGTCCATTTAAACACCTTTATTGTGGTTTTCCTAGGGTTTAGGGAGGAACCAAAATTAGATGTGTTGGGGAGGTTCTTGCCTCACACAGGAAAGAATTCAAGAGCAAGGCATGGTAAAGTGAACACAAGTTTATTTAGAGAGACACACTGCATAGACAGAGTGCAATCTGTCTCCTTCAGAAGGGAAAATGGCTTAGGAGATACACACTGCATAGACAGAGTGAGGCCCATCTCAGAAGGCAAGAGCGAGGACAGTGAGAGTGACCAGGAGGTGCAGAGTTTTAGGTTCTATGGGCTTGGCAATTTCATATGCTAATGAGTAGGAGGATTATTTCAATGACTTTGGGGAGGAGGCAAGGATTTCTAGGAAACGTCCCCCTGCCCACTTTTTGACCCTTTATGGTCAGCCTGGGAACTGCCATGGCACCTGTGGGTGTATCATGAGGCTCAGGGTCTACTGGAAGTCGAATATTCTGCCATCTTGGTTCTAACCAGTTATGTCCTGTCCTCAATTGTTGTGTCACTCCTTCAATGGTTGTGCCTTGCCCCCTTTCCGTCCACTTCAGGTGCATATATGTAGTCACCTTAACCCTGAATCACAAGTTTTAAAATGCTAACGTAGTCAAATACATTTACCTTGCCTCTTTATGGAGGTATCATCGTGTAGGCATGAATGATTGTTAACTCAGTTTCCAGCCCCTCACTCCTACCTGGAGAATCGGGGATGGAAAGTTCCAAGCTTCTAATCATGGCTTGGTCTTTCTTGCGGCCAGTCTCTATCCAGGAGCCCACCCAGAGTTGCCTCATTAGAACAAAAGACATTGCCACACCCAGGAAATTCCAAGGTATGTAGGAACTCCTTGTCAGAAACTGGGCTCAAAGACAAAATTTTAAAACAAAACATGCTGCTAGCAAGAACAAACTTTCTGCCAAAAAAGAAAAAAATAATAATGAAAACGCTTCTCTGTGGGCCTTTGTAGTTTATAGTGCAGGTTGGTATTTCTTTCATATTAACTCCAACAAAATGCCAACTAAAGTGCCTGAGATAAGGACGATACCAACACAAAATCAGCAACTTAAAATGAACAAGTATGGGGTCAACAAAACTTTAAAAATTCAATATAAATGGGAAAAAAAAAAGACATTCCCCACCCCCAGCCCCCCAAAAGGGGAATATTAGAACCTAGAACACATTAAGGGCTACAGATATAATTCAGGGAAGAACAGAAATTTAGGATTCATAACATAAAAAAGCAGAATTTTTACATGTTTCAATATAATGGTAAACATGTCAAACAACAATCATCCAGGCTGCAAAGAACAAAGAACTTTATTTAGGGGTCCTGGGACTTGTAACTGGGGAGACATAGATTCAGGTAAAACTGAGGGTATTCTGGGGAAGAGAGTCAGACGCTTATAAGGGCAAACACCACAAAATTGTTCTAAGTTGTCTTGCCAGAATTGTGATTGGCTCTGATGTGCAAAGTAACATTTGTCCTGAAGGAAAAGGCTATCATGAGTTATTTAGTGTAAGGGTCTGATAAGTCTCTTGAGTTCCTAGAATAGTGTGCAGCTGTTCCGAATGCCTGTGTGTAAGACAATAAATGGTCAAAAGTTCAGATTCTATTCAGGCTGAGATATGCGCAAGTCCCACTTCCTCAGTGGCTTCCCAGCTCCATTTTAGAGCGCTCTCTTAGCAATACTGGTGAAATGGAGCAGGATCCTGTGGGGCCCTCCCGGGTACAGATGTGTCCCTTTCTGTGTCCCTTGTTTCTTGCTTGTAGGAAATAGGCTTAATTCAGCCTCCTTGACCTTCCCTGAGTTCCAAAGGGCAGATTCAAAGAGAACTTAGAATTAATATAAAAATGTTTACCTCATATATTCCCTGGAATTCCGGGAGATTCAATGACATTCAAATTCCTACTCAAAAATTTGAAATCATTCAATAATTATTTCCTTAACTTCTTCTGATCTCCAAACCCATTTCATTGGCTTCTTCCCAATAACAGTTCTTTCTGCATTGCTCCAATTATGATCACAAATCACCTCATAGTTGCCTAATCTAATGACTATTTCTTTCTAGACCCTCAGTAGCATTTCAAATCATGAACTATAGCCTCCTCAAAATTTTGTTCTTCTGTAACACTTTTTCAAAATATCATTCTCCACTGATTCTCCTTCCTTCTAGAAAATGAATTTAACATACATGCAATAATCATTTAATGACCATCTTCTATGTATCAAGCACTGTGTTTGGTCTCTGCCCTCAAGAAAATTTCAGTTTAGTTGGGAAGAAAGACAAGAAATCACTTCCCCTCAGAGTGGTAAGGGATGAGTTAGAAGAATACATATGGAATGTGAAAGCATATGAAAGGTATGTCTTTCTAGACAAATAACCTCGCTAGGGAGGGAGGAGGAAGTCTGAGAGAAAGATATTCTAGAAAAAAGGAAGAAGAGAGGTTCAAGAAGCATGGGGTGCATCCCCATATTCATTGCAGCACAACTTACAATAACCAAGAAATGGAAACAATCTGTGTCCATTGATGGATGAATGGATAAAGAAGATGTGGTATATATAAAATGAAATATTACTCAGCCATAAAAAGAATGAAATCTTGCCAATTATGACATGTATCAATCTTAAGGGCATTATGCTAAGTGAAATAAGTCAGACATAGAAAGACAAATAACATATGATTTCACTTTTATGTGGAATCCAAAAACAAACAAATAAATAAATAAATAAACAAACAAACAAAACCCCAAGGTCATAGATACAGAGAACAGATTTGTGGCTGTCAGAGGTGAAGGGTGGTGGGGGGAGGTGAGTAAAACAGGTGAAGAGCACCAAAAGCTACAAATTCACAGTTATAAAACAAGTAAGTCATGGGGGTATAAAGTACAGCATGATGGCTATAGTTAATAATACCGAATTGCATATTTGAAAGACACTAAGGGAGCAGATCTTAAAAGTCCTCATCACAAGGGGAAACAAAGGTTTTCTAACCCTGTATGGGGACTGATATTAACCAGACTTATTGTGGTGATCATTTTGCAATGTAGACAAATATCACATCATGATCTTATATATCTGAAACTAATATATGTCAATTATATCTTAGTTTTTTAAAAATAATTGAAAATAAATAGATAAATGAGAAGAATGGAGTGGTTACTTGTAACTGATGTTGAGGAGAAGACAAGTAATAAAAGCAGGAGGGAAAGCTGTTTAGCTGAGAGTGATGAAGGCGTCACGGAGAGGGGTGAAATGGGAACTGCATGAGGGAGTTGACTGGAGGAAGCAATGAGGGATTCCAGGCAAGTAAAGTCCAGCTGAGGTTGGGGACCATGAATTAGCAATGATTCTATCCAGGAGCAGCAGGAGAGACAGTAGGTTATGGAATTAATCCAAAGTCAGGGTGTTTCAAAATGGGTATGATAGGAGGACAAGAGCCAAGAAAGTTGCAGATATTGGGTAAACAGTTGAAGAGAGGTTCTTGTGGTCTCAACAGCTTTAACATAATGAAGCATCTTCTCTTTTAAATTCTGTCCCTTCTGTGGGAGTCTCTCTCTTCTGGATTTCTAAGGAATTAAGTTCATTCATTCAATTAAGTTTTTTCATTAATAAGGCCTTTCTAACAACCTCTTGCTGAGAAAAGAACATGTAGTCCAGAGAAAAGAACATGTGATGTGGATGCAAAAGCTCTGGGTTTATGTCCTGGCTCTCCACTGGCCAGCTGCGTGATCTGGGGTAAGTCATCTGATCCCTCTTACATTCGTTTGTTAGGGCTGCCATAACAAAATGCCATGGACTGGTGACTTAAGCAACAAAAATTCATTTTCTCACAACTCTGGAGGCTAGAAATCTGAGATCAAGGTGCTGAAAAGATTTCTTTCTTCTAAGGCCTCTCTCCTAAGCTCCTAGATAACTGTCTTCTCCCTGTGTCTTCATATGGTCTTCCCTCAATATCTACTGGTGTCCTAATCTCCTCTTCCAACAGAGACACCAGTCATGTGGGTTAGGGCCAGCTAACAACTCATTTTAACTTAACTACTGCTTTGAAGACCCTATCTCCAAGCACAGTCATAGTCTGAGGCACCGGGGGTTCGGACTTCAATATATGAATTTTGAGGGGCACACACTTCAGCCCACAATACCTCTAAATTTCGGTTTACTCAGCTATAAAATTGGGGTGATAATAGAAGGTAATAGATAATAGAGATAAGAATGTGGTAGCTAAGAATATAGTAATTAAGGGCATAATGGTTAAAAAAAGCACACACATAATGTGAAAAAATGTAATGGCTGGAATGTACAGGCCAGGCTGCCTGGGTCTGAAGCCACATTTGTTGCTTACTAGCTGTATGACCTGGTGCTTTAATACTTCAAGTTCTTATTTGCAAAATGGGGAAACTAACAGTCGAGGTGAGTCCAAGTTTCACAGGTTTTGAAATTTATACACCTCAGAAAAAGAATACAAAATTACAAACACACACTTATGTATAAAAGTGAGTATTTAGAATCAGAAATGAAATCATAACAAAGTATACATTTCAAAATGTTGAAAATCCTATTCCCAATATTCCCATATACACCTTTCCTTGGCTGTATTCCCAAAATGCTTACGACCACTCCAACACCCAAGGGAAGTTTGAGAGGTCTGAGAAGTCAAAGTGGGAAGAAAAGAGTGGTCTTAACCCGTGGTGCTTAAAATATCTTACTTTTGAGGTGCTACTAAATCATAAAACCATGTGAAAGCATTAGGGTACCTCTCAGGGCCTTTTAAAAAGCCTATGCAATTGGATGCGAATGAATCAGGAGTGGTCATTAGCATCATCTTCAACTAAGAGCAAATTATTAGGTGGTATGATAGAGGTGATGAGGACAGTGTTCCCAGAAATTGAGCAGGATGAACCTGAGCTACAGGACAGTGACTCTCCTACTCGTGATTGTATCCCCTAGGGTAATAGCATTTCAATTTAATGCTATTCAATGAATGCATGAATGAGGAGCCAGTGGGAGACACTGCAGTAAATCAGATGGGGGAGGGATTAAGGGTTTGGAAACTAAAAGGAAGGCTGAAACTGAAAATCCCGTGGAATAAGATTTAGTAGTATTTGCTGACTAGGGGTAGAGGTAGGGTGTCTGGGGGCACAAAGACGCAAGGGTGGCAGGACAGCTGGAAGCATCGTGGCACCACAGGAGGAGGAAAGTAGGAAATGAGACAAGTCAAGAGCGGTGGCTATTTGCAAGAGATGATGACAAGTTTGGATCCTGATATGAAGTTTCTGGTAACAGAGAAATCCCTCAAAGGAGAACCTGGAGGTGGCTAGAAATGCTGATTTGGGAGTCAGGGCAGAAATGGTAACTGAGATAGTAAGAGCAAATGACTCCCCCAAAGGGAAAAGATGAAGAGTGAGAAAACCATGAAGTTAAGGGGCCAAACATGAAAGAACTTAAGGAACACAAAATAAAGAGGAAAGATGGATAAAAGAGGCATTGGTCCCATAGCCGGCCCTCAGAGTCTAAAAGGTTGCCCACTCTCTGCTTTACAGGTTGCTGCCTGGACTCAGCATTGAGTTCATTAACAGTGAGACTAAGTCTAAAGGAGTCTGGGTTATTCAGAATCTCTGAGTGTCAGGAGGCTACAAATCTGTTCCAATGGCCGGAAGGGAAACAGATGTGTACTTCCGCTGTTTACACTCTTTTAGAACAATGGAAACCATTTTCATGACATCATTTTCCCCAAGAACATGAGCTTTTATCTTGCACATTAAGTATCCACCTTGTGTAATTATATAATCTCTGTGAGGCTGTGCAGCCGGGGGAAAAAAAAGGAAGAAAACGAAACACACACAGCACATTACTTACAGGAAGTGACCATCTGATTACTGAGAAATGAACATAACTGACATCAGAAAAAGCTGTGGATCCCTGCCAAGTCCAGCTCCCTCAGTCTAGCTGGTTTCATTCACTGGGACTGTGACAGGCTCTTTTTTTTTTTTTTACAATCAGGATTCTTTAACTCAACAACTACATTGTTGAGTGTTTTGGATGCTGTTTAAAAGCTGGGTTTATCTACTCAGTTCTCAAAACAAGCTTGTGAGCTTAACTCTTAATCCCTCCCCCGACCTGATTTACAAGCCTATGAGGTGCTGGTTTATCCATTTCACAGATTAAAGAGAGGCACGGAGAAGTCAGGTCAGTAGACTAAGATCACCCAAGATTTGCCCAAGATTTGCACCCAAGCAGTCAGTGTCCAGATCGCTGCACCCCCATTCTACTGTCCAGAATAGCAATTTACATATATGTTCATTCAACCAGACTAATTTTTCAGGGAGGTAAAAGCAATGTATTCTCAGATGTGTGGAGATGTGAAAGGATGAAAATTTCTCAGGACCTTGAAAGCTCTTGAGCACTTGGAAATTACAGGGCTTGTTTTAAGGCATTGCCCTTTCATACCCTAAGTAAGGCAGGGCTCCAGCAAAATGGAGGAGGAGAGTGGGTCCCTGTCTGCCACCACCCTGCCCTCCTGGTGAGCTCTGTCACCCAGGCACTCCCTGCCCCTCTGGTGTCCCACCTCCCCTCCCCTCCCAGGCAGCCTCCTTGGGCTTTTCCAGCTTCTCCAGCCTAACTTCATTTTAGGCTTCTGTCTTCTAGGTACAGACAGCTCTTCCAGTGCACTAATCCCTTTAACATCCTCATGCTGGTGATCAATATTACCTGCCTCTGATTTCTTGCCAGGAATTTATTCACTCCAGGGGGCTGTGGGGCTAGATGGCTTCAGAATAGAGGCCAGTCTCCAGAAAGACCCAGCCACAGTTAGGAATTGGAACTCTCAGCCTCACTCCCTGACCTCCGGGGAGAGAAGAGAGGCTAGAGATTGAACTCAGTCACAAATCTAATTATTTAATTAGTCATGCCTACATAATGAAACCTCCATTAAAAAACCCTAACTAAAGGGGTTCAGGATCTTCCAGGTTGGTAAAGAGATCAAGGTACTGGGAGGGTGGTGTGCCCAGAGAGGACACTGAAGCTCCGTACCCCTCCCCACACACTTTGCCCTAAGCATCTCTTCCATTTGGCTGTTCTTGGGTTGTATCCTTTATAATAAGCTGGTAAATGTAAGAAAAGTGTTTTTCTGAGTTCTGTGAGTTGTTCTAGTGAAGTCCCAAACCTGAGAAGTGGGGTGTGGGAACCCCGGACTTTAAAGCCAGTTGGTCAGATGTGGAGGCTCCTGGGACTTATGACTGGCATTTGAAGTCAGGGCAGGCTCATAGGACTTGAAAATGAGTAAAACAGAGACCAGAAACAGAGACAGAAAAATAAGGAAAGTGAAAGTGAAAGGCAGAGGTGGAGACAGAACAATAGAGAGACTGAGACAAACACAGGTGGGGAGAGACTGAAGGAGAGAATTACTTTCAGGCAGGCAGGAACTGAGTAATTGTTTTGATTTAATTAACATACCTAGGCCTAGCCGCATATTTGAATCACCAGGAATGCCTTCCAAAACTACTGACACTGAGACCAGATACCTGACCAATTAAAATCACGCTCTTTAGGGGTGGGGCCTGGCGCCTGTATTTATGAAGTTCCCCAGGTGATGCTGATGTGCAGCCGGGATTGAGTGTCATGGATGTCCACTAATTGGAATATGAGGGTCTGCATCTTCTGCTAACTGGTGATTCCCAGGAAGAGGAAGCCAGTAGAGGGGAAGGGCAGGCAAGAGCCAAACTGAGCATTTAGTACCTGTACTAGTAACCTTTCTCCTTCCTCATTCTGCCTGTGTCCCCGAGAGTTCTCAGGCCGGAGCGATGGGGTGCATTTGTGAAGGGTGATATTATGTGATGAACATATTGTCTTCCCCTTTAATGCTGAGGAACAGAAGAGAAAAACAGAACTGGGTTGAGAGTAAGTCAAGGTAAGTTATAGAGAAATAAAAGGTGGATTTGCACAGCCTCGTTTGTGGTTAAATTCGGGTCTCTCCACATATGGACATTATAGGGGATGGTAAGTATAGCCCAGCATGAACTTCTGGTGGGTTTAACTTCTCAGATTTATATGATCTCAATCCTTGACCTTAAATCACAGAACCAATGCATTACATACCATTGTTCTTTGGAGAATTTACTAAACAGCACCACTTACCGAGAAATATAAAATGTCTCCACTTACCAACACGAGGTTCAGACCTTCTTTGGTTTGGCTTGCGGCTAGAACATTGTTTGAATGACAGTCTTTCCAGCTGTCTTGGTCTTTTGACTGTGAAGAAAACAGTAAAAGGCATTACCAGGCAGCGCCATCTGAAAACCTTCCTCATAGGTTTCCAAATAGAAAATAACTATTAGATTTCACAGATTTCTCTAACTCGAGCCTAAGGTTCAAAAGCAAATAATTTATTATCCACGATGTTTGAGTATCAGTTGTATTTAATACCTCAAATGCCAGTGAGCTCTTGTACTTATTCCAAAAATCCTACGCTAACAGACTCTGTCAGTATCCCCTGGCTCATAACCATTAAAGCGCACCTTGGTCATATTTCCAACTGTATTGCTAATCTCAGGATTTACTGGAGTGCCAAAGTCTGCTTTGCTTGACTTGGAGAGAAAGTGCAGGTAAATTAAGGTGCCCTCCCACTCCCTCAAGCCCTTATCCAATGGTTGACTAGAGTTGGTGTAAAACTATCGCAGCAACCTTGCCCCCCAGAGAGGACTCAGTCTGAGTTTCCCTAATGGGATTAAGTGGTAACTGATTTGCTAACATCCTCTACCAATGTTGTTTAGTTCCCCACTAAAATCACTTGCAATTGAATCCTATTTTCAGGTCTTTTTCTGGGAGACCCAAACTAAGATGCAGTCCTCAGTCCTCCACAATAATGCATTTGTGGTTTGACTATCAATCAGCCATAGAATTTTAGAATTTAACAGCAAGAGTTCTTTTTTTTTAAATGGAGGTACTGGGGATTGAACCCAGGACTTTGTACATGCTAAGCATGCACACTACCACTGAGCTGTACTCCCCCTCCCCTTGAATTTTAGAATTCAAGGGTCATCACAGATCATCCAGTATAGAAACTTCATTCTCCTGTAAAGGAAACCAGTGTGTGAAGGGGTGAAACCACTTACTCCAAGTCAAACTACTAGCTAACAAAGGACACAGTACTTGAATCTGCTCTGCACAGGATCTGGAAGAGAAATCCACCTACCTGACGGTATTCTCACACTTACAACCAGTAATAACATGGCACGTGTCACCTCCACACATCTTGCCCGCCCACACCTGTGACAGACATTACCTGGTGTCAGTACTCTTTTTCCATCATCCCAGATATCATCTCAGAATTCTTCTCAACAAGGAGTTCTAGACAACCATCATTTGATCAAAGGTAACCTATGAAATAAAACAGATTTTCCATGCCTGATCTAACTCAAAAAGTATATGAATTCTCTTTGCTTAAAGCCGTCTCAGAGAATTTTTCACTCTACTTTCTGTAACAAACAGAAAACTCCAGAAGGACTGGGAATGGGCTTCTTGAACAATCCTTCTCACTCGCTAAGGAACTTCATCCTTCACTTTATACTCTCCTGCGAGCAGCCTGGTATGTTTGCTGAAAGCATTATCAACAACCTCCCAGCCCAAGAATTCCTTGAACACAGACTCTTACAAAGCACTGATGGAAAAACTAGAAAACCTTCCAGAAGAACCAGCCACATTCTGTCAACTTATGTTTTTCCTTTTCAATGTTTTGGTTGGTGTCTTTAACTGTTACAATTCTTCTCACATCTTCCAAACAACCTATGATTATGACCATCTCCTTGAACATTTCAGACTCAATCAAAACTCTAGCATCTTCTACACTGCTTTTTATGTCCTCCCATACCACTGGCCTCACATTCAACTCAATGACATGATATTTAGACATGATGTAGGAGAATTTTTTAGAAACATCTTTCTAGGCCTTGATGACATTGACCTTTGTTCTTCCTTAAATGAGTTAGGTAGTTGCAGACCTGATTACCGCCAGCTCCTTACAGCTGATGTGGGGCCATGTTACCTCACCGTGACACTTTCTCCTTTTATAATTTATCACTCCAATCAGGTGAGGCTTTCTCTGCAAGATCTTCCACATGAGAGGATCCAGGAGCACCAGGAATGGGGCCGGCAGCCTTCCCAGGGGCTTCTCCTTTTCCATAGGACGCTATGCCCAAGAAATAACACAGAATATGGGAACACAAAGACGAGCCTTTCATTGGAGATAAGTGTTTTGGCCAAGTAAGTGTCCACTACTAAAAATAAAAAATAAAAGATATCATTCAGAAAAAAATCTTTGGCACAAAAGAAATCCTGATACTAATGAGACTGAAATAGAGTGTCTACCTAAAAATGGTACCACTGGCAAGCTGCTCGATGAAAGATGTGACATTCATGAATGCAATGGGGCTAATCCTCACCTAATGAAATAGATCTATTCCAGTCTTGTTTACTTTACAGTAAAGTTTTATAAAATTAATTTGATTTTCCCATTGATAGTACAATATTGGAGAGGTGATTTTTTTTCTGAAAAAAATCTGGCCCTTAGGATTCAATAAATACAAATAATAATGCATGAGAAATTCAAAATAACCTACTAGAAGTAAAGCCAATATTATTTTTTAAAAGGATAGTTAAAATAGTAAAAAACATTAAAAACAGTTGTTTGCTATAATCAAAAGTCATAAAAGGTTAGATTGCCTAGGAGCAGAGCCCGAAATTGGGATCTATGTGCAAGTGATTTATTAAAGTTGTGCCCTTAGGAGAAACCTGTAGGAAGTGAGAGCTTAAGAGAGAGAATATGGTTTAGATTAAGCCTGGCCTCTGCCTGATCCCACCAAGATCTCTAGAGTATACAGATTGGATCACAGTGTTGTCTTAACCTTGAGGCAAGGGAGCTGGGTTCTTATACCTCCAAACCAGTCAGTTATTGGCTATGGGCCATTCTAGTTGGAAGATGGATGTAAATCCCCAGGCACCTCCAGTGTCCCAAAGGCAATCCTCTGGAGAAGGTTTTAAGTGTGAGTTCTTCACAGCAATACATACAGCAGTTGGATTCTGAGTGTACCTAATAAGTAGAAGAGAATCCAGGGCATCTGGGAGAGGCAGCAAAGGAAAGGAAGAAAACTAAGGGAAGTCCAAAGAATAACTGCACAAGTTTAGGAGAAAGAGAATGTGGCGTAGTGGCTAAGTCGTGAAAAATACCTAAGGGATTTTGGTTGACAGTAAATTCAGTATAAATCAACAATGATGTCGCTGTATTTAAGGGGGGGAAATAATGCTAATTTTTTAAATAATAAGAACTGTCCTAAGGTGAAATGGGTCAAATTGGGAGACAGTGAGTTCTCAGGCAAACAGAAGATTCTCTGATTTTACTTCTAAGGAAACCATTTTGCTTTTCTGGGGGTGGGAGAGAGGGAGAGTGCATATTTTTCTTAATTGAATTCACCTGCCTATTTTCAAATGCATTTTACCCAGTAGAAACAGTATATCATAGTACTCTTATGTCAGAGGTGGTAACAATATGAAAATGAAGGCCACTGAACCATTTAAGCCTTGCTTAATAATGGCTCTTTATCCCTGCATCTGCTGACATGTGTAGCTACCTAAAACAAAATTCATATCTATCATTTCTCACCAAATTAGTAACTTGTGTTTCCCATTTCTCCTGTTGATAATTGTAATAGCTTTATTTAATGAATACCTGTTATGTGTCAGGTATTTTACAAATATTATCCCATTTAATTTAATCTTCACAATGACCCTGTGAGATAGATTTTATCTCTACTTTTTAAATGAGGAAACAGAATCAGAAAGTAACTTTGCCATTGCTATCCAACTAGTAAATTCTAGGAGAATTTAAATATATACCTTTGAAACTCTAAAGGCCAGTCATGCTCTAGAATTTCTATATAGAAGGCTGAGGGGTGACAGCCTGGCTAGAAGTAAGGGGTGATGAAGGGAGCTTGTCTTAAAACTACATTTTCCTGGATTGCGTAAGTAAGATGGCACCAAATGATCCCTAACTGCTAGCAATCACACCCTTGCATAGTCTCCTTCCATGCCATATCAGGACTGGTCTTTGTGACCAACAGAATATGGCAGATGTCATGCTCTGTCACTTCTGAGGCTGGGTTACAGAAGACACTGCAGCTCTTTCCCCAACCCCCAAAACTCTCTCTGCAGGATGCCAGCTGGCATGTCATGAACAGTCCTTTAGAGAGGCCCTCATAGCAAGGAACAGAGGCCTCTGGCAGCAGCCATGTGAGTGAGCTTAGAAGCAGACTCTCCAGTCCCTGCTAAGCTTCAGATGACTGCAGCCCCAGCTAACAGCTTGATAGCAACCGTATGAGAGATCTTGAGCCAGAATCACCCAGCTAAGCTGCTCCCAAATCCTGACCCAAATAAAGTGTGAAATAATAAATGTTTGTCATATAAAGTCACTAGTTTTGGGGTTATCTGGCATGTAGCAATGGAAAACTAATATGGATTGTATGCTTACTTAGGATGGCTTGAAGAAGAAGGCTGGTGGAGATTGTGGGAATAAGGCTAAACCCCCACCTCGTAACCCTCTGCGGCTAAGTCACTGCTGAAAGCCAGCCTCTAACCCCGATGCCAGTGATAGGAATTTTAAGGGTTTTAACAAAAAATTTTAAGTATATACATATTAGAATAGAATAGAAAATTAAGTGCATCAGTTCCTTAGCAAGAAATGCATATGTTGCAACAAAACTTTATTTTCCAAGTTGCAACAAATACTTGTGTCTTCATAATAAAGTATGGGTTGGAGTATAATATAAACATTTTTTATGGTGCACTGTGGTTAAAAAAAGGTTATAAAGTGCTGCACTGCACTCTATATGACTCAGCCTCTGCTATTGGTTTCTTTATTCACTAATGGATGGAGTGCAGACTGAGACTCATGTGCACATGTTATCTTCAGAAGCACTGAACGTGCTTAAATATTAACCATTTACCAGAATATAACCATGGTAAATGGCTTTTGAAAGAAGTTCTCCGGATGTCAAGAGTAGTGTTAAGGTGACAAGTATGGGAGAGAGATGGGCTTTCAAATTCTTCAAGATTGGCAGATTGGTATTGGTCCTAAGAATCATGCAATTTTAAATGTAGAAGTCTGCAAAGTGAGGGAAACCAGTCCTAAATGTTCGTGTTCTCATCAAGTACCAGTTAAAATTTACAGTGATACCAATTCATTGCTATATTAAGAATCAGATATTATTTCAATCTAATGCTAAGACTATTAGCTTCTTAAATCACTACTGAAAATTGAGCTCCTTTTCTTTCTAGATAGCCTCTCAATGTTTGGCTCTCCTGCCTGAATAGTTTCCACTGAAGCTATGTTAGGAAGATCCTAATGTCTGCTTCTCTCTGATTGAGCTCATCCACTTTCCCTTCTAGCCTTCCATCCATACCTATAGTTTCAGGGAAATTTTTTGGCTTCACTACCAATTCCTAAGGATCACAATTGGAGGTGATGTGCAGGTGAAGTATGATCTTTAAAAATGTTATTTATATGGTTGTACCATACAAAAGTATAAACTTCTTTGTGGCATAAATCTTTCAGGAGATTGTGACTGCCTTTAAAATGGTTCATTAAATTTCCCAAGTTCCTAATGTGCTCTTTGAGAAGAGATCAGATTCTGAAAACAACCTGAAGGTAGAATGAGCAGGATTTCCTAAAGGGCTGGATGTGGGATATTAGAAAGAGGAATCAGGATGACTCCCAGGTTTTGACCTGAGTAACTATGAGGATGGAGTTGCTATCAGCTGAGATGGGAAAGTCTGTGGATAATGCGGGTTGGTGGAGTGAGGTGAGAAGGATGGGAGTTTCATTTTGGAATGTGCTGTTTATGTCATATGCTTTTAGACAACCAGGTGAAGAAGTCTACTAGGCAGTGAGTGCAGACGTTGGAGTTCATGAGAGAGAGTCTTGATTGGAGATAAAACTGGAAGTCATGGGTACACAGAGAGCATTTAAAGCCATTAGGTCTCCTAACCTAATTACCTCCGCCCACCCCAAAAAAGAAAACAACAACAACAACAACAAAGAAACAAATATCTAAAGCCATTAGGTCTCCAAAGAACTGAGTGTAGACAAAGAGGAGAAAAGAACTGTTACCTCATTAAGGTGAATGAGGAAAGAGGAATGAACAGCCACTGGTGAGGTGGGAAAAAAAAAATCCCAAAGTGTGATGTCCTAGCAGTAAGTGAAAAAAGTGCACCAAGGAGGAGGGAGCAATTAGATGAGTCGGATGCTGCTAAGAGATTAAGTAAGATGAGGACTGAAAAGTGGCTACTGAGCTTGGCAATGTGGAGGTCATTGGTGACCTTAACCAGAGCACTTCTGGTGGAGTGGTGGGGGGTGTGGAATGGATTTAAGAAAGAATGTGAGGAGAAGAAATGGGGATGAATAATGACAAACTTGACTGAGAAATTCTGCTGCAAAGGGAAGCAAGGAAATGAAGCAGTAACTGCAGGGAAATGAGAGTCAAAAACCAAAAACAAACAAACCCCAATTCTTTATCTAGATTGCCACAGAGACCTGTTCAAAGCCTTGGGTTAATTCATAGTATATTCCAGTAAGAATGTGGTGGCTTTGACGGATTTCCTAATCACCTGTGTGGACTGTAATCTCACTTCATTCATGAATTAAGTGATTAATAATAACTGTAAAGATTGAGAAGGAAGAGGAATTACTTACTTTTGTAGTAAAGAAAACTCAACTAGGGCTGGGAAATACTGGACATTGGTTCTCCTCCATTTTTGAGATTTTTCAAAGAAAATTGTTATATAATTATTATCAACATCAGGTGGTAGATTTTCAACCACCAATGGTTCTTGATGGTTACAGATACCTTGGGAAAATCTGG